ATTATTATCAAAAAAATTTTTAATATTAACAACAATTGGAAGATAACATGCAGATTAGATTTACTATTTCCATATTAACTCTTACCGTACTATGTACAATTTTGTGCCTCATTCATACTATCAAGGGTCACTAGAATCTCTTCGTTTTTTCAATTCTTCAAAATATCTCTAAAAATTCACCAACATATTTTCAACTTCCTAGAATAAATATTGACTCTTTATTTTGGAAAATAATAAATGTAGTATAATTTATAATTACCGAAAGACTTAAAGAAACTTGCACGAACAGGAATCGCCCGGTCACTAGTTACCCATATTAGTACAGTAAGAGTTAATATTGAATATTTTCGTATTAATTTCCACAAAATAATAATGTGTCACAGATTAGTTTCTCTGTCAGAAGCCTTAATCGATTATTTACCGAAAATTGTACTTGCTTTTATTGCCAATACATTAATAATTGCAACTAAATGTATATTCAATGTTCAATTGTTAATCCTTTCACAGTTGAAGAGATAACGCTTACATTTATTGCAGTCATGCCAAGCTTATCAAACCGAATAATGGTACTGCTTATCATGGTTTTCGCCATTCTCTGCTTTACGGTATCTACTAATGCTGAAAGAAATATTGGTAAGTAAATGTCAATGTTACGATTACGTCACGACATAAAATTCGTTGCCGAAATATCATATATATCAGTTTAGTCTGTACAAACTGGCTTTGTACAGGTGTTTGCATACGAAACTGCGCGCAATGCAGAAAGATGTTCGGCGTGTATTTCATGGGACAGAAGTGCGCGGACTTCTGCATGAAGTATAAGGGAAAGCTCATTCCAGATTGCGAGGACGAGTACTCCATTCGTCCTTTTCTTCAAGTAGCAGAGAATGATTATTAATCCTCGGAATCGATAGGAATTCCTCGGCTTTCTCCAATATTTTTATCTTCGTGTTATAATATTAAGCTGCGCAAATTGTATACCGTAGAAATGTGAATTTTGACGTAAATTATTTTAACTTATATTATTTTTAGCATACGCTAGAATAGGTATATCATAACCGATAATACGTGTGCAGATTTACAATCTTCATCACAAAAGTTGTAAAGGCACGCTACTGTATGTGATCAAATATAATTCGAAAGTATAAAAATATTAATATTTTAAAATAACAAAATATTTTTTAAAACTAGATTTTTCAACATTGCAAACTACTAAAATTGACAATAGAAAATCGATGTTTCTATAAATATTTAACTAATTTTAAATATTTAATCCATTAATCATGAAATATATTGAATACTGTTAAAATTTTAAGCTTTTAATTTCATAAATCTTTTACTATTGTAACATATTTGTTTTTCTCATTTTTAAACAATAGTATTATAAAGTAAATTGAATGTGTGTGATCATTTACAATAAAAACATTTACTCGAAAAATTTTTTATAAAGTTTGAAAAATTACGTTATAATACACAATAGTCTTGTATATTTTATTACTATTATTTAGAAACATAAGTTAATCTAAAAATTGATATATTGAGCTCTATAAGCGAGATATTTTTATTAATATATATATATATATATTTATATACAGCATGTATTTTGCCAAGTAAAATGCGTTCAACGAAATCTGGATATTAAATAAAGATATTTATATTAGATATAAATATATTTTGCTTCAAACATCAGGTTTAATACGTAAAGAACATCGCTACATGATTTAATATCTTAAAAATATATTGTTATTTAAATTTAAAAAATTGGTTGTCAATTTTGCTTGGAAAGTTGTGCGGAAAATTAAATGATGAAATCATGAGTGATAATTAGAAAACTTAACGATCATCGATAATGTTAAAATAGCATACGTTCATAGGCTCATATTTAGTCAAATTCCACACAGTATAGTTCTCTGAGAAGTTCTGAGAATGTCTTCAGGACGTAAGGCACATATTATGGAATTATGTGAAATAGATTTCAATCGAAATTATTCCATTTTCTCTATAATAAAACATAATAATTGAATAATTCTGATCGGAATTCATTCCAAATAATTCTCTGTAATACATACCCGGGACATCCTTCGGATATTTGTAGAACCATGTTGTGTTGGGCATAATTTAATGTAAATTATATTAATTAAAATTATCATGAGATAATTGCACGCTATTATTTAATAAACTTGACAGAAATATAAAAAAATAAGTACAAAAATTATGTACGAATTGATATCGCATTGATGTCATAATACAAGGAATTATATGATTTATAGTTTATACTCATAGAAGCATAGATTTACCTTTTGCACAGCGAGCTTATTCAATATTAATTAAAAATTCTTTTATACTGCGATTCAAGAACATTATCTTTGATACAACTGTAACAAGAACGCAAGAAATATCAACGTATGTAGTTAGAATAGCATACCTGAGTGATAATCACGTATGATTACGCTTTCGTTACACTATTTCGGTGAACAAACAACAGCTGACGGCATGAAACATATGAGAATCTCGATCTACTCTAGATGTGCAGAGTATTGTAGAAGCGAATCGTCGAAGCCGAAATCGAGGCGACAGCAGAGCGATTATGCGATAGTGTTTAATTCATTTCGAGAAACATTCGAAAGTTTAACATTGGTGATAACTCTTCGCGCGCGAGATTTCTTTTAGACGGAAACGATCCTCTTTTGGGTAACGATCGCGGAAAATACAGGATCACACAAGATGATTTGAACAGAACTCCGCCATCTTTACGTCACGTTTCCCGCGAGGCACCAGTGGCGCGACTTGTCGTGAACGACGCGAACCGCAATTTGAAATCAACCAAAGGTGCGTTCGGAGAGACGCTATTAGCGCTATTTGTGTCATTTTAGCCTTGTTTTACGTTTTAATAAACAATGAAGATAGAATGATAGAATAGCGCTAAATAGTGTCTCCCTGAACGTACCACAAGAAGGAAGCGACATTCGAAGTATCGAAAATGCTCGAGACTGCAAACGATGGTAGTATTTACGCATATTTACGCCCGATTGCACCAACCTACAATAGGGTTGTAAGCCGTGTGAAATTAACCAATCATAGTCGATTATTTTTCAATCGTGATTTCATATTCAATTGTGATTAGCCAATTTCTTACGGCATACAGTTACGGTATCAGTATATAAATGCTCCTTTACTTTAACTTTAAACGAAGCTCGAAACTCTTTTTCGGCTTTAAAGAAAAAAAGTGAGAGATTCAATTCACGCTTAAAGTCGAAATAACATTGGCTACGTTCAGCAGAACGTTTATTTTGCTACTGTTAGAAGTTTTCTTTGCGCTGATTGGGTTATGCTTTTAGATCAAAAGAAATAGTCCAATCTCAGCAGAGAATCATAAAACGGTTGCAAAACTGTTGTGTTCTGCTGAACGCAGCCATTGATGCACAATCGGGCCTCAAATATTTTTGTTTCGCGGGGTAAATTAAGATACTTTAATTTATGTACATATGTGCGTACATGAACAAACAAATCATATCCATTAAAAACATGACCGAATTCCGCTTCGAATCATAATGATTAATGTAAAAAAGTTTGAGATATTTCGGTAAATCGGAAATGGTCGAGATTATCATAAAAAAGGCAATTGGCGTAATTAGTTATATAAAGACAAAGACATACATACCTGGCGATGCTTCAGCTTCAATTGTCAAGTATCTCGCTTTATTTCACAAGTTCTCTCTTCAACTTCCGTTGATCTTCGTACGCACGTAAGAGGATCGCTGGTATATACCGAAATCACAACAGTAATATAGTAATTACGCGATAATAAACACCACAATAGTTATGACATCGTTCGACGCTCTGTAGAAAACATTTACGATAACTTTTCGCATATATAACGATAACAATCAAATGGAAATCATAGAGCGATCGAAGTGTGATATTGCGATCACCGCGACATATTTCACACTAATGACGAAATCTAAAGAAATGCTTCGATTCTCGAAATCTTGACTCTATAGCTCTATAGTAGTAGCTTACCAATGTAGCGTTTACTTCACGGTAGTAGTTATTTAAAATTGAAATACATTCAAATATTTTAATATATACGTTAGAATAGATAAAAGTAATGAATAATTTTATACTAAGTTGTTTATATACATATATCTTCAATATTGAACATATTTTATTTATAACGCGCTATTTCATATAATAGTTATTAGTAATATATCAAAGATTTTGATATATTTTTGAATATACTTATAGAAATATCTAATCAAAGTAAATTAATTACACTAATCCATTTTATATTTGTTCAATAGAGAATTAAAAAATTTTATATGTTACTTTATCACTTGTATTAAATATTCTAAATGTTTAAATTATTTATATTTTGAATTATATTTATTAGACAATATCATAAAGTAACAAATTGAAGGTAAAAACGAAAAAACAATATATATATATATATATATACGTATAACAAAAAATAAATTATTATAAAATTGTTACAACTATTAAATGTAAATTTAGTTTTGTTGACCATAAGATGATTTGAATTATATATATATATATAATCAATCTAGTCATTCAAATCATCTTGTGGTCAACAAAACTAAATTTACATTTAATAGTTGTAACAATTTTATAATAATTTACTTTTTGTTATATGTATAAAAAGTACGGAGAGTAAGTAAAGGTATCGATAAAAAAAATTTATTATTGATTATTTCAAGAGAACAAGTAAAAGAGATAATAGTATATTTCTTGAACACCATATTGTACCAATATTTGTGATGAACATCGTGCACCTGCACGTACAAAAATTGATGTAATTATCATATGTGCGACATGAAATTACTAATTATAAAAAAAAACATAATTATATGAAAATGAAGATAAGGCTTCACAAACATGTTTAATTGAAAGAATATAAATAAAAATATATGTACTTATATCTCAATAAAAGTGTTTTTTTTTTCATTGCAAATCCAGCTTATTTAAATTGCAAATAGCTTATTTCCAAAATATTCATTATTGCGGTGTAGGTGGAGTCACGTAACATTCTGGTATTACTGATAAGGTTTGCTTCGATTCTAGCTGTTGCACCTAACAAAAGTATAACAATAACAAGATTAAAATGTGAATGATTTTTCGAATTACTTTATCGTTTAAATAATGAAATAACTATTTAAATTCTTACACGCTGCCGCAGAGTCTTTTCATTTATAGCAGCCCTTGTCAACAATTGTTTCACTTTATTTAAAAGTTCAGATTTGTGAATTAATTGTTGCTTTAAGATTCGGAAATCTCCATTGTCATCTTCCTTATGAGCATTTTCTAACATAGCTACTCTTTGTTCAGCTAATCGTAAATCTGCCTCCAAACTTATCACACGCTTCTGAGATTCTTCATATTGTCTTTGGAATAGGGTGTTTCCTTCAATAATATTTGTTTTCCCCTATATTTAATAACATATATAATAATATACAAAAAAGAAAGATAATGTACAATATCAAAGAAGGGATTGTACAATTTACTTTATTAACTAGAAGATGAGTTTTTTTGGAATTAAATTTTAATCTTTTATTTTCTGCCTGGAGTTTCTCGATAATTCGCTTCAATGTGAATATTGTTTTTTCCATTTCAAAGATAGATTTTTTGTTGTTTGATTCTGGCAGTTCTTTTTCTGACGATCTAGGAGTGGAATCAGAAGATTTTTCTGCTTTTAACAATTGAATGTATCTATAATAATAACAATATAATAATATTAACTGTTTTATCTCAATCTAATTTCACGGCATATAAAAATATACAATATGAACATACTTTTCTAAATGTTCGACTTTTTCTCGCAATCTCGGAGTATCCGAATTCGCTCTTTCTAACTCAAGTCGTAACTCAAAGTTTTCACTTTCTAATTTAAGATTCATTTTTTCGAGAACATCTTTAGTCATTTCTAGCTTTTCAAGCTGACTAATTACATTTGTATTACCCTATAAAATAGCATCGAATAAAACCTGATGAAAATTATGCATTCATAGTAAAAATAAAACATAACGAGTATGCTAACCTGAGAAACTGCCTCCAAAGCTGTATTATGCCGTTTTAATTCCGCTATTTCTAACATCAAATGTTCATTGCTTTCTTTTTCTAGGCGATCAGTCAATTCCTTAACACGTTCTCTTAATATTCGACATTCTTTCTCCAGTTGTTCTTCCACTGTGTTATACTGAATATTTGAAATGGGTCTTCCTGAAGTACCAGATACAGTATCGCTTTCAACTTTGAGCTTACTTCTTAAATGCCATTTTTCTCGTTCCATACACGAAACAACAGATCGCAGCTTTTCATAATTTGCAAGCAATTTTTCATATTCATCAGTCTTTTCTTTAAGCTTTTCCTTTAATTTTTCTGCTGTTTGCTGCCATTTTTTCTGTTTCTCCCACAATAAAAGTTCTTCTGCGGTCTAAAAGAGGAATGTATTAAGTACTCTAACATAAAATCGCAGTATTTAATAATATACCTTAGCCCTTTTAGCTTCTTGTGCCAAATATTCACGATCTAATTGAGTTTTTGTTTTATGCAACTCTTCTTCCAAAGTTATTACTTTACGCTCAAGCTGCATTTCACGTTGCGATGTCTTCTTCTCCTGAGCTTTTATTGCCATGTATCTGAAATAATTATAAAATATTCTTAACATATAAAAATAACATGAAAAAAATAAATAAAAATATGTGCTTAAAAATTGGTACAAAGATTTACCTGCGACTAAGTTGCTGCTTCAAATCAGCTATTTCGTTCTTATACATTTTCTCTTTTTCCATTAAAGATTGATGCTGTCGACGTAAAACATCCATTTGATTTTGTTGTTGTATTTGATCGCGCTGACTATTGTGCGTGGATTCGTGTATCTTCATATCGCCTCGAGTATGAACCATTACTTGATGAGATCGATTTGCAGATTCTATTAGTTCAACTTCATTCTACGCAATAGATAAATAAATTGAATAACGCAATAGATAAATCTATTAAATAAATTTAATAGACTGAAATATAATTTCACAGTAAATTAACAAAACGTAGTTAATAAATCTGAAAAATTACTTGTAATTGCTGACAAGCAAGAGTTAACTCATGTATTTTGTCATCTTTGTCTTGTAACTCTTTCATCAGGGAGATATTTCCTTTTGTGAGTAACATGCGATTCTCAGATAATTGTTGTCTAAGTACATCAGCCTCGGACTGCCATTTATTTAATTCACCGCGGTAGCTCTCTAATTCATTTTTATGTTGTTGCTCTAATCTATAAAACATAAGTTATTTTTGTGTCATTCATAGCTAGTTCTCATGTGAGTTTATTATAAATTTTATCAAATTAAAAAAAACAATATTTTACATTGTTATCAAACAAACCTTTCTCTCATACGATCCATATGTTTCAGTCTTTCTTCTGCTAATCGATGCCAACGCTCACTCAGTTCTTTGCTAATATTTAATTCTGCTTCAAAAGTGGATACTTTCTCATGCAGCCTTGCAATTTCCTCTTCTTGTACAGCACTGCTTCTTACTGTAGTTTCATCAAATGTCGATGGTTTTTCAAAAACATTTTTTATAGTTACGACCGAATCTTCACTTTTTCGGATTTTACCTTGCATAGCTAATATATGATCATGTAAATTCTTAATCTCATCCTGTAAACGACTTGCTGCCCGACTATGCTCATCCCTGTCTTCTTTTAATAAATTTTGATATCTTAAAATAGTTTCTTCTTTTTGATTAATTAATTTCTGTAAACTATTTATCGTCGACTTCAAAGCTAATTTGTCAGCACAATCAGTACTTGCAACTCGAGGTTGAGTCATTAACTCGTCAAGTACATTTTGTTTTTGAACAAGGTGTGAATCTTTTTCCTCAATCGCTTTGTTCAAAGTATCTACTTTTGCTTGATACTGCGAATCTTTTTCCGTAATCACTTTATTCAGAGCATCTACTTTTGATTTATACTCGGATAATTGTGCTTCACACTTGACAAGCATTGCGGAGCGTTCTGATGCAAGTTTCAATGCTTGATCAAACTGCTCGTTAAGCATTGCCGAGGTGGCACTTTCTTCTGTATTATTTCCCACTTCTCGGAATGTTTTCTCTGTAGTTTCACTTGATTTAATAGGTTCTTGAATATCTTGAAAAATTACGGTTTCCTTATCGGTTTGCTTATCAGTTTCCTTAGTAGTTTCCTCTACTTTTTTATTTAAGCAGCAAATGTAAGGATCTGTTTGAACACTAACTACTTGAGTTTCCATCGTTACTTGAATAGATTTTGTCTTAAAATTTGGTATAGTGATTCGAGTTTGATGTTCCTGTTGTGGACACCAAGCTCTTTGAATATTTAACATATCCTGTTCCATGCTATTTATTACTGACTCGTATTCGTTGAATTTACTATTAGCAATTTGAAGTTCATACTCTAAATGAGTTATTCTTCTTTTGTATTTAAAATCCTAAGTAAAATAGAAAATTTTTTAGAGAAAAAACCTAAAAATTTGATCTGCAGGCAACATTATATATTAATATTAAAATTTATTATATTATCATAAATTTAACTAGAGTTAAGTATTATGATTAAAATGCATTAACTGATTAAATGCATTATAAAAGCTAGAAATTAGAAGATATTTTAAATATATGCAGAATATTATATGTTATTGCTGTAATAAACTCAATGTTATTTTAACAATTTTATTAAATTTTTTACATTAACTCATAAAGATTTTCAGACTTACACTTAAAGTTTGTTGTGAAGTTTCGGCATAATGCTCCATTATGTTTTGAACACTGCCAGCACCAATTTGTTGCTCTAACATGTCTTTCAGACGTTCTACAATCTCAAGACGAGCAGATAGATATTTTTGTTCGTATTTAATATCTTCACGACATTTTTTTGCGTTTTGCAGTTCTGCATCAATATTTTGACGGTCTATTTTTAACTTTGCAGCCAATGTAATTACTTTTTCTAAAGTACTTATAGAAGTTGATCCTGCATATTGACATTGTAAAAAATATATAATATCTATATAATACCTGTAACATGTATAATATGTATGTAATACCATAATATATTTTTATACACAAAATAATGTTTAAAAGTAATTTCTGATTTTACTTGCAACGATTATCACATTGTTTCCGATAATCTTGTACATAACTACGCATTTCCTCGTATTTTTGTTTTAAATTATTAAACTCTTCTTGTGCACAAGATAACTCATTCTGCAGTCGTGTTTTCTGTGTAGACAGTTCCATTTCTGATATCTTCTTACTCGTAAGCTCAAAATCAAGTCTTGAGATAGTGGCTTTATCTTCACTAATTGCTTGCAAATCTAATATTTGATGTCTAAGACTATCTAATTCCAGTGTTTGTAGCGAATTCAGTGAATATTGTAAACGAGCTTCTTCTTCAGAAATATGTAGCATTTTTTTTAGACCTTTATTCTCTATAAAAAGTTGCTTCTTTTCATTTTGCAATTCCTGTATACGGTTATCATCTGTTTGTATCGTTTCTTGCAGCGTCATCTTTTTGGACAATGTCTTGTGTACTTCAATCAATCTCTCTTGCAATTCAGAATTAGAAATAGAAAGTTGTTTAACATTATCTTCGTACTTTGTTAATTGCGTTTGTGATATTTCAAGTAATCTAGCCATTTGATCAGCTCGCTGCCTTTCAATTAATTCCTTGGTTTCTATCTCTTTCAATCTTTGTTGTAAACTATTATCACTCTCGTAATCTGTTTTCCGTGAATCCTCCATTAATTGCCTTTTCTCCTGTCTTATTGCCTCTATTTCTGTTTTCAAAGATGATATTTCGTTAGAATTAGGAGATACCATAACAGTTTCTAACAAAGCATGGTGACGTATATTCAATTCCTCATATTTTTCTTTCAATTCGTTATGCACTATTACACTCACAGAATTATATAAATTACTCTGCAAAAGTGAAATTTCTGATAGCAATGTTTTACTGTACTTATTTGCCTCAGTAAGCGTTTTATTAAAATCACTCTCTTTTTTAATTATTTCTTTTTGATATTCATATAATCTGTTAGTTTCCTTGTTAAGCAATTGTTGAAGACTAGCATTTTTCCTGTTCATTACTATTATTTCGTTAGTAGTATCCGCGTATTCTCTCGTTTTTGCTGCAAATGCTTTCTGAGTTTCGTCATCTCCATCTTCAATAATCTGCCAATTTTTTTTATAAATTTCTAATTGCTTTTTAAAACCATCTATCTCATCTGTCAACTCATTATTTTCTTGAACTAGTAAATCTTTCTGCTTCCCCCATTCCTCTGTTTCATTTTTATATGCCATTTGTAAAGCTTTCATTTCTGCAAGATACATTGTTATCACTTCATCTTCGCCATGTTTCTCGTACAATTTTTCGAAATCTATATCTTTATTTACTGCTAAATCTTGCAAAATATTATCCTTCCTTTGCAATTCTTTTCTGTAAATTACACATGATAATACTATAAATTATAATAAAGATAATAGAATATATCAATTATATCATTGTTTATAATAGAAAATATAGTAGTACTACTTTGACAACAAATTCGAAAAATACCTCAGGGTTTTAAGTTGTGATCTTAATTCAGTATTACTACCCTGTACAACATTAAGATGTTCTTGCAATCTCATAGCTGGATGGTACCAACCAGCTAAATGCCTAACGTCTAAAGCTTCTAATAATCGTTCCAATGTACTGGATTGTATTTCCACTTCACTCTTACCTAAAACGAGAAATGCAGTGAGATATTAGCTTCTTCTTTAGGGCACTATTAAAAAAATACAAGAATAGCAATGTTCTGTATCTACTCAAACCAAATAGAAAAATGAAATAGGTTTAGCAGATTTTATTTATATTTCATATTAAATAAAAAATAAAAAACTAAGCAGAAGAAAATACAGTGTCAGAAATGGAAATGTGTGCAATACTAAAGTACCGTTAAAGTTAGCGAAAATTCACCATCTTGATTGCGTATACTGTCCATAATCTCATGCATGCCCGTTCTAAGTGCCTCATTTTCTTCTATAAGTATCTGAATATTCTGATTAACTTCAGAAACATCTATTTTGGAAAATATTTGCATATTTTCTGATTCCACTAATTTGGTCGAATGTAAAAACTGATTACTAGAATCACCTAAATTGTTTGAAATATCTAATTTCTCAGACTTACTTAATTTATATTTTAACATTCTTATCTACAAAAAGTAAAAATTTGTAACAGAAACTCTTCTAGTACATATCATTATAAATTATCTTAAACAGAAAAGACATACGTATATTTTATACACAAGTTCTATAAATTAATTTTTTCATAAATAATCTTACATCTGATTTTAATTCTAAATTTTCCTCTACAAGGCTTTTATTTTGCTGAATAAGCTCTTCCATTTTCTTTGATTCCTCTTTACGTTTCGCTACAACACTTTTAATCGATATTGATTCATCCTCTGGAATTCCTAATTTTTCTCTGTTATGATATAGAAAAATAGTGTTATACTTATTTCCTTTAGGTATAAGGAATATAAATTGATACTCTAGAAAAATTTACCTAAGAGTTAAGATCTCCATTTCTTGATATGAATTTAACATCTCCAATTTATTAATAACATTGGCTAAATCTTCAATATGTTCATTCTTATGATCGATTTTAATTTTTAATTCTTTAATTTCGTTTAATGCTTTAGCTAAAGCCTGATTTCCATTTTCATATTTTTTTAATGTAGATAATACTTCGCATAACTACATAAAAAATAAAAATTTATCATTTAACATATTATTCAGCAAATAAGTATGTACAGTATTTAATAAAATTATTGCCATTTTTATTATATACTTATTAATATATGGTTATTTTTTAATTACTTTTTTCTCAAATAATTATGAAATATTTAATATTAAAAAATTACAAAAACTATAATTTAAAAAATTTTCATATTTCCAACTTTTTCAGAAAAAAATTAACTCTTAAACAAGAGATTTATAGCTCAAAAAAATAAATAATGGCAATAATTCTTTATAGTCTTTTTATAAATTAAATATGCAAATATAAATGTCTGACTTTACTACTCTGTGACGTGGCATCATCCTGTGCTTGTGACAATGCATTTTCCAAGTTAGAAATCTTTTCATTTGCAATTTGTATTTTTTTCAACAAATTTTTTTGTTCTTTCCGTTTATCACTTTTTACAGGCCTGTAAAATAAATTAATAATTTTCAAAAACAATTAGAAACATATTACAAATAGGACAAATAGAAAAGACTACATACCCATGTGTTTCTCCTTTTAATTTTTCTATAAGTGCAGCACTCTCATTTATTTCAACGACTGCTTCAGAAAGTTTAGTTTGCAATTCAGCTATAATCGCGTCCCTACGAACTATTTCATCATTTAGCTGAACAATCTGTGTTTTATTTTCTTCTTTTACTGATGTTATCGACTGCATTAAAGAATGTGATAAGCTTTCCTTCAAACGTGTTATTTCCATATCTTTCTCATCTAATACACCCTTATAACATAAATCATATAAATTAATGTACATATTCTCTAAAAACATTCCAAATTCTTTTATAAACATTATACCAAATTTATTTAATACCTTCCATTCAGATATTCTAGCATCAATGGCTATACCAAATTCATCCAGCAATTTGTCTCTATCTACTTGTTGTGCTGTTAATTCTTCAATTTGAATAACTAAAGCTGCATTTTCTTGCTCCAACTTCAATATCTTTTCTGTAATGATATGGCACATTTATACCCTTATCAAAACATCAAATTCATAAAAAATATAGGTATATTATTCATATATAAAAACCTTTATATTCCACAGTTTTTATTTGTGCCAAACGAAGTTCTTCAGTCACTTCGTTCATTTTTTCTGTTGCATCTTCCATCTCATCTTTCAATGTTGTTAGCTGTTCCTTAAGACTCTCATTCTCTTTATCCAAATTCTAAAAAATAAAAAACGATACAAAGAAAATGTATTATTATTATTACTGTATACACTTTGTTATATACACTTACCTCTAATTCAGCCATAAGTGTCTTAACTTTTTCACTTTTGCCTTGTGCATCTGAATGTCTCTTTAAATCCGTATCCTATATACAAAATTAGACTATTGTACAAAATATAAAACATAACACTTAATGATATACTGTAATTAAAAAAACTTACTCTAATAAAACTATCATTTTCTTGTTTTGCTGCAGTCATACCACGATCTGTCAAGATAATTATCATGTAAATAATACTTGAAAATAGAAAATATATATATTATCAATAAAAATAACTTAATTTCATCAATAAAAATTATTTTAAAATTTTTGGAATCTTATTTTAAATATTTACAAAAATATATACATATATATACAAAGTTGTGATAATGTTACCTTTGATCTTTCGTTTGGCAGTCTCTGGACGTAATGAAGCTATCATTTCTTTTAATTCGCCACATTCAAGAAGCAAAGCCTCGACCTAATATTAATAGAATTATTTTATACTTAAAATATTAACGAGAAAAATTTATTTCTGTAAGCAAGCTTTTTTTGAATGAAAATAAATATTAAGTATCATCATACATAAAGCATATTTATAACGATATAGTAGATACTAGTATATCAATCATTTAACGTGAATACGTAATAAGAAATAATTTCCGTACTTGATTATCTTTATAAGTCAACATTTCTTGTGACAGTCTCACAAGCGTCCGCAAACCATGTATGTCAGCGATCTCGTCCACGTCACATCGGACCACAGCCGGAAAAAGATCCTCGATTTCTTCGTCTGTCAAAGACGAAGCATTTACGGATAATAACCGATCCCAGTCGGTGCGAACCATTTTTTCGCGATAGCAATCAAGCAATAAATCATGCAACCCTCATCTGCATACTATCTTTCGGACATCCTCCTTCGATTTGACATGCTACAGTAAACAGTTTACAAACATTACCATAGTGAAAGCAGAGAAAAATCTGAGAGAGGACATAACGGTCCAAACCTGCAACCATAAAATGCTGCCGCGTACTACTGCCCTCTGAAAAAGTGGATGTAAACTACATAGCAAGGTCCACTTTTCTGAGGGTACATACGTCCACTTTTCAAGGCTGCAGATGATAAATCGATATTTGGTTTTGAGCCGTCATGTCCTCTCTCAGGATTTCTCTCTGATGTGTACTTGCAGACGATAATATACAGGGTGAATTATCCTAGAATCTCTAATCACAGTTTGGAGTTGTAATAACAAGTTGTAATAACAAGGAGTTGTTTTGTGTGTCATATAACCTAAAGGATAGGTTGAAGACACTTATTGTCGCCAGCCGGCGACACTGAGCAAAGAAAAAAAGAAAAAAATAACAAGGAGTTGTAATAACAGAAGATCCATCAGAAGACTTGAAAAGATTGGTGTGTTGGATTGCATATCAGAATTGTTTACATAATTGTGTAAGTACTGTGTAAGTATTGTTCCACATGCACACAGAGAGATGTTAATATACAGTGACTCAGAATCAAGATGTAAGATCCTTTTACATCATGATCAGAACACGTTAATCAATTTCCCATATTCATAATCAGGCCATATATTTAAGGCTTCCTATTTTACACAATTAAATGTTTTATTTTATCCTTGTTATTCACTGAATATTAAGGAAGTATAAAATGAAACATTATGCACACATTGTGGCATAAAATGGAACACATCTTCTCTGTAAGATACTCTTTGTTTTTTAAAAGCACAATTACATCATACATAATCTTTAAAAAAACGTCTTTTTTTATATGTAATATTGCTATTTTTTAGTTTTTATATGTAACTATTACCCATTATTCATAGTTTTATACTTAAGGCTTCCTTAAGTTCATCTTTAGATGTTCTGTAACCAATAAAATAATCATAGAGCACCTAAAAATAAATTTAAGGAAGTCTTAAATATAAGATTTGACTGAAAACACGATCATACATTTTATATCTTTTATATCTGTATTTTAACTGTGTAAGTATTGCTGTGTAACTCTTAATTTTAAATTTATTGCTACATACTTTACATTATATGCAATTTTATTTTCTTATTTTTTTAGAAAAATGGTTGTAAGGCAATATCAAGAGGAGCTTAAATATTTGGAGAAAATAAATGAATGTTGTTGGAGAATCAAGAAAGGCTTTCAACCTAACATGAAGGTAATTTTTTTTCTACTATACATGTATGTAAAATGTAAGAATAAGATAGACATTAAGAAACATATGTATATAACACTTTCATGATGTTTTTAATATTTCATGTTTTTATCTTATTACATAAACAAACTATGATTAAAGGTTGAAGGAGTATTTTATGTAAATAACACATTGGAGCGATTAATGTTTGATGAATTGCGCAATGCATGTCGACCAGGTGCAGTTGGAGGCTTTCTTCCTGGTATGAAACAGATAGCTAATGTAGCCGCTTTACCTGGTATTGTATGGAGGTCTGTTGGATTACCAGATGTACACTCTGGATATGGCTTTGCTATTGGTAAAATATATATCATCTTCCATTTTCTTATATTTTTTTCTAACACATGAATTTAAAATAGTCTATAATAATTGACTATATCAAATGAACGAAATAAAATAATGAATGAGTATATTGCATTTAGGTAATATGGCGGCATTTGATATGGATGATCCAAAGTCAATTGTATCACCTGGTGGTGTAGGTTTTGATATTAATTGTGGTGTTCGTTTATTACGAACAAATTTATTCGAGAGGGACGTCTTACCAGTAAAAGTAACACTATTTTCTACTTAATAATTGTTTTTATAATTTTATGCATTATAAAATAGTAATAATGTATATATCTGCTTTATATAATATAAAATTTTTTTTCTAGGAACAACTTGCACAAAGTATGTTTGATCACATTCCAGTTGGTGTTGGATCTAAAGGAATTATACCAATGAATGCACGGGATTTAGAGGAAGCGTTAGAAATGGGAATGGATTGGTCTTTGAGGGAAGGTAAGGGAAAAAAATATGAAACAAAAGTATTGATGAAATAAAAATACTAAATAATAAAAGTATACTCATATAAAACTTAGGTTACATTTGGGCTGAAGATAAAGAACATTGTGAAGAATATGGAAGAATGCTTAACGCTGATCCATCAAAAGTATCAATGAGAGCTAAGAAACGCGGACTTCCTCAAGTATGACATAATAGATATCTATAAAATCCTATTTTTTAATATTTGCACAATTTTTTCTAGTAAATATATTTTATTGAATTTTAATATGGGAGATTTTGAGGTCGCTGATTACAAATCTGAAGTCAAAATTTAAAGAATTTAAAAATCCGGTGACAATCTTGTGTTTGGATTATCGACAAACTACCATAATTATGCAAAACCATAAATTGTACAAACAGTTCAGCTGAAAAGAATAGAATTCTACATCATTGACGCAAATTTTTAATATAAAATTTCAGCCGGATATATTATCGGGTACTAATGATCCGGTTATCCGGTCGGAAATTAAAAAAGTACCGGATAATTTCCTGATATTCGATTGCATCCTTAATATTTATTACAAATAATTTTATATTAGTTAGGTACATTAGGAGCTGGAAACCATTATGCAGAAATTCAAGTAGTAGATGAAATATATGATAAATGGGCTGCATGTAAAATGGGTATTGAAGAAAAAGGACAAATTTGTGTTATGATTCATTCGGGAAGCAGAGGATTTGGTCATCAAGTTGCTACAGGTTATAAATTATACGTGTAATTTTGTTTCTCTTTCTCTTTATATACGTAGATATATTTAGAAACTATTAAAAATTGTTCTATACAACAAAGTAACATTTCAGATGCACTTGTACAAATGGAAAAAGCTATGAAACGTGACAATATTGAAACCAATGACAGGCAACTTGCATGTGCTCATATTAAGTCTCAAGAAGGTCAAGATTATTTGAAAGCAATGGCGGCTGCTGCTAATTTTGCTTGGGTTAATAGAAGTTCTATGACATTCCTTAGCCGACAGGTACCTCAAAGAAATACATGTATATCGTAAAGAAATACATGTATATAAATACTAATTAATAGAAATACAAAATAGTACATAATGTATATATTTTTTAATAGGCATTTGCAAAACAATTCAACTCGTCTCCCGACGATTTAGATATGCATGTTATTTATGATGTGTCTCATAATATTGCCAAAATAGAAGAACATATAGTTGAAGGAAAACAAAAGACACTTTTAGTTCATAGAAAGGTAAGTGTTTATGAGACATATATTACAACTGTGAATGATAGCTTAATTTTTATATTGATGTAAATATAACATAATTCTTATCAAATTTATGTAAATGTATTTTACTTGAAGGGATCAACAAGAGCCTTTCCACCGCACCATCCTTTGATTCCTGTAGACTATCAGTTAACAGGTCAACCAGTTTTAATCGGTGGTACAATGGGTACATGCAGTTATGTTTTGACTGGGACAGAACAGGGTATGAAAGAAACATTTGGCTCGACATGTCATGGTGCCGTAAGTGTAGAATTTATTAATTTATATATATAATTTATATCAATGTAACTTTAATTTTACAAATAACTTCATACAAATAATATATTTATATTACATGAAGAAAAATATGAAAACTATCCCTATATACAAAAAATATATGTATGTACAGGGCCGTGCTCTTTCAAGAGCAAAGTCACGTAGAAATTTGGATTATATGCAAGTTCTGGAAAAATTAGAACAATTAGGTATATCTATTCGAGTTGCTTCACCAAAATTGGTCATGGAAGAAGCACCGGAATCCTATAAAAATGTAACGGACGTTGTTAATACTTGTCACGCAGCTGGAATTTCCAAGAAATGCATCAAATTGCGGCCAATCGCAGTTATTAAAGGATAATTTCCATAAAAAAAAATTTTGACTGTTTTTATGATAGCGTAAAGCAAATTAGAATTAAGATATCAACGAATAAAGTTTAAATTGTGTGTAAAATTATTTATATAATTTTGCATTTTTATAAATTATATTAAATCCACTTCACGGTATAAAAATTATACTAATATATTAATATTACATTAGTTTTCTTATTCAATAATAAAATAATGCTTAATGTACAAGTTCATTGTATCTAATGATATTATGAGATATTTATACATATATGTATTAATGTAGTTACTAAAATAAATCAAAATTATGTTATTTATAATTACGTATGTTATATATCATGAACTATACATAATAGGGTAAGGAAAAAAAAAGAATAAGAAATAACAAAATTTTTAAAAATATTTCGTTAGCGATTTATTAGAGAAAATGTACAATTACCTATTTTCGTAATAAGAAAGCTATATTAGACTAATTCGTTGACTTTACACAGGAATTAAAAATTCGCAGCATTATATTTAACAAATCCTCCACTGACTAGAGAAAATAATACAGGAAAGATACACGAAGAAAAGATAGTCCCGTGTTTTTACTCGCAAGTAGATAATGGAAGCGAACCCATCACCATAAATAGTATGTATATATCATGACTCGTAATGTATAACAGTGACTTATTGTTTGAACCCTTGAAAAGAGAGTACAAAGAGACGAAGTGATAGTCACTGGAGGAGTTGTACACCGAAATACAAAACCGACCAATAGGACGAATGGTCTGAAATGCATTCCACGAGAATTATAAAAAATGTACGTTATTTATAAAATATTATTCTAACGAACTTATGATAGGTGATAGTCAGGAGAAGGTTCAGCTACAGATTCAGTAGTGAACAAGGGATTTGGGAACTCTGGTGGGTGTGGCAGTGGTCCAGCAGTCTTTGGCTGACGTCGATACGCCATAAGCCAGCATGACACAGCAATAGCTACGGCAACCAATGCCAAAAGTGCCGTAATTATTAACGCTATGATAAAGCCGACCATAGAAACACAGATATCTTCCACTCTTTGTGCTGAAGGAGCTGAAAGGTATCATAAAAATGATTACTTCTTTTATTTCAATATGCATAAGAATCACTATAAAAGGTGGTGGCTTTGATCTAGCCATATCAGGTAATTTATGAATTAATTTTTAGACGACTGTGATTTTTTTAAAAGAGTGACGGTAAATTATTTCAAGACACTTGCCATATTTCAAGCCACCATTTTACATTATTTTTTTACACGTGTTATGTCTTACCTTCAGCTGGATCTGCTGTATACCTCTCCTCTCTCCTTTCCAGAGTGAATATTAAGTTCGATTGAATAGTTATCTCTTCACGAAGTTGACCTTCATATCCATCGGATACACTTAGAGATGTATCGTTAATCTCGGAATCAACGTCTCTACGACGACGGCCAAAGGCATTATAACCGCGACAGTTTACCTGATGATAGAAGAAATATTTTTTTATTATCGAAGCTGGCATTTCTGCTAATGTTGAAATATATATATATATAATGATTACAAGTTTCGAACACTCACAGGTTGACAGCGTCCGAAGCACACGCGTATATTGCACTGAAATCTTATATTGTCACTACTAGGGAACTTGAACGCATTAAAACTAGCCATTAGCGATTGAGTATCAGGATTTTGCTCCCATTCTCCGAATATCGTGGGATCTGTCGCACAGCCATTTTCATCCGTTACGATGTACTCGTTCTCTAAATTATCTTCCATCGTTTTAGCGACGCAATTTCGCGCAAATCCACCATAAATAGCTGCAATATATTATTATTTATTCTCACATTTTATAATAAGATTAAACTGGTGTTTAAATAATTGAAATTACACACGAAACGTTATTAAAAATAAAATACGGTACTTACTTGAAGGTTGAACTTCCACTTGAAGCATTAGATTATCTCCGATTTCGGCAGAGTTAATTTCATTTCCATTCTGTGCAACTATTTTCATTACGCATATAGGCGGTGGACCAGTGTTAGCGATTGTTCCAGCAGTCGTCAACATGGAGACGTTAAAACCGAGGGTAACATTTTGTTCTCCAGTTTGATATATACATTTAATATGATAAGCTTGTGCTTTGTAAGTCATCAATTTCGGATGTTTCTGTATAACGAGCACAAAGCTAGCTTGACCCTAAAAAGTGAATCAAGATAATGTAAATATCTTTCGATGCAACAAGTCATTGATGCAGTTATGATACACAATATTATTCAACTAACATTCACATGTATGAGTCCACAATTGCCAAATGCAACTTTGAACGTTTCGGTTTTATGATCAGTTTCGGCCGGTATCGAGACAACTCGTCTGCATTGTTCATCTTTGCTACGACCTTTAACGTACAAGACTCCATCGAAGTCTTGATCTTGCAAATGGATTACGACTTGTACTCCATCTGATAGGCAACTTACATCCATTTCCGGTCTAGGGAAATCTGTTCGACCATCCTTTCTATCGTCTGAAAGATAGGAAACATAAGCATTAAAAGAATTTTTTAGACGAAAGTTACTCCATACCGATTAGCTTATTATTATTTATAAAAGATATAATTCACGGAAAAAAAATGGTACGTTTTAAAAGTCTAACGTATGTTCTAAAAGCTTATATATATAAAATCTTCTAAATTATTGTAAATTATCGAGACCACACATTTATTTTTACAAATTTTCAACGTACAGCATTGAGTGTATGGATTGCCCAAATAGCCATTAACGCAGATACAGATAGCTTGATGTCTGGTAGCGTTACAAAGCGCGTGCACGCCACACTGTTGTTTCTTGCAAGGATCTTGGCAAGTATGAGTGACTTTATCGCAATATCTGTCGTCGGCGCAGTCGTCATTATGTCTGCATTCGATTACACCAACTGAAATTAACCGCGATGAAGATTAGTGAAACGAGGAGTTGTAAAACACCTTTTGATCAATATAAGAAATTCAATGACCAGCTCACTTTGTCTACAATATCCTTTGGTATCTATTTCGTATCCATATTGCGTCGGACAAACACAACGACCGTATTCATCTATGCTGAAGCCCTTTTCTAAATCGCACACGCAGTAGTCTTCTTCGTTTATCACCATATTAGACTGTTTGCGACAAGGTATGCAGACGTCGTTTGCGTCCTTACCGAATCCAGGCGGACAGACACAATTGCCGTATTCATCGCGAATCTGTCCTTTCCCGATTGGGCAGATTTCCGCTGGAATTTGATCACAGCGGATAATCGCGTTTCCACGGTATCCTGGGAGACATTCGCATATCATGGTCCTGATTGGGCTGGTATCCAGAACTTTGCATTCGGCGTTAATACCGCACGGTGCGATCTTAGTGCATGGATTAATGCACTGTCCGTTGAAGCATGCAGTTTGGGAAGGACACTCATTGTCTGCTTTGCACTTTTCCTTAACTACAAGAAGATCCAGCGAAAAATTAAAACTGAATGTGTACATATATTAATTTCAGCAAAACTGAAATAGATCTTTTTTTTACCCTTAGTACAGCCTGACTTAATATCGCCGATGTAGCCAGGTGGACACGCACATTCCACAACGTGATTATAAACATTGCAGTCCATATTGCCAGTGCATGGATTCTGTACACAGGGATTTTCACAGCGATTGTTAATGCAAGCCTTATTGGTAGGACAATCGGAATTAGTCCTGCATCCTAACAGGACGCAGGAGACCCGCGGATTGCCACCAAAACCTGGTGGACACTCGCAGATAGCCTTATGATGGATGCCGTGACATACGGCGTTCTTGCCGCAGGAGGCCAAGGATGGCGAGCACGCTGGTATACAATTGCGTTGGACACACACGTGTGAACCGCTGCAATCGCTGTCCGTTCTGCATCCTGCAACTAAATATCAAAATACAACATAAAAATCAATATATCATTAGAAAATATAACTTTTTATTAACGTGTTCCCCTTAACCGAGAAAAAGTTATAATGGCTTTGTCTAAACAAAAAAGTACCTCTTGTACAAAGAATATCCGGATTTCCGTCATATCCTAACGTGCACGAGCATATCGGCTTATGATTGATGACATTGCAAACCGCGTTAGGCCCGCACGCGCAGGGATCCTTACAAATTGCGTTTACGCAGGAACGTTCCGAAGGACAATCATCATCCTTGGTACATTCGATTTTGAGAATCGGTTTGGTAGCCCGACAAGTACCACTGCCGCTGCTGACGTATCCGCTAGGGCATACGCATACCATGGTGCGTATCGGATGTGTCGGTAGAACCCGACACTCAGACGGCTCAGTGCATGGTTGTATGATTGGGCATGGAATCTGGCATTTGTTGCTCAAACAAGCGAGTGAATCCGGACAGTCACTGTCCTCCTTGCACTCAGGTCTGACTTCTGGTTGGCAATTGATGTACGGATTTCCGGTGAAGCCTGATGGGCAGCGGCATATCGGTAAATGATTCAGGACTCTACATTCCGCGCGAGGCGAGCAGGGATTGTCATGGATGCAAGGATCGATACATTGCATGTTGATGCACGAGTGATCGCCTGGACAGTCACCGTTACTGTAGCAGCCGATCACGCGGCAGCGATCCAAGGGATTACCATGATAGCCCTTACGGCAGCGGCAGTCGGCTACGTGATTGTTCGGGAAGCACTCGGCGTTGGTACCGCACAGATCTGTGACCAGGCATGGATTTACGCAGTTATTATTTTTGCAGGTCTTATCGAGCGTGCACTGACTGTCGTGCTGGCACTCGACGGAATGACAGGCGATCTCGGGATTGCCCTGATAGTCCTGCTCGCACGAGCAGATTGGTTTATGATTCTTTACGTAGCAAGCCGCATTAGTACCGCAGTTGCAGGGGTTGCGACATTGCCTGTTAATACACGTCTCATGATCACTGCAATCGTCGTTCGTCGTACACGTTCCAATGACCGTCAATTGTACTATAACATTAAAATAAAAAAACATTAAATTTATGAATAATCAATTATTTTCAAACAATATATATTGTTTTTTAATTGATCGATTCAAATAATATTTAGCTTTGCTTACTTGGCCTGCAAACACCGTCGACATCGGTGATCCAACCTTCAGGACAGGTGCAAATCATGGTCCTTACGGGTACCGTATCGAGAACATCACAACGAGCGTTTTCGAGACATGGTTTGATGACCGGGCAAGGATCGATGCATTTCTCCCGAATGCATACCAACTTGTCTAAACAATCGATGTCGACTTTGCATTCAGGCTCCTCTATTTCCACTGCGGTATGCCGCTCGCAATAAGAAAATGGATTTCCCATCGGAATGTTTTCGGGGCAACGGCAGGATGCAATATGATCTTGGACGTAACAAACCGCATTCTGCGCGCAAAGTGAATTCTCGGCGCATGGGTTTATACAGCGACCGTCGTTGCAAGCCAGATTGTGGGGACAATCGTGGTCGGTATTACACTCAACTCTTTCACAATGAGTCTGCGGATTGCCGTAATAACCCGGACCGCAACGACAAGCCGATCGATGATTCTTGCCGTAGCATTCTGCGTTGATAGCGCATTTGTTGTCCAAGATGCAAGGATTCACGCATTGACCATTATAGCAGGTAGCTGCATAGTCGCACTCGCTGTCAGATTCACAATCAACTGAAATAAACAATCGCAATTAGAAATACATTAAAAATTATGAGATCTTTTTGTAATTCTTGTGATCTGGAATGGTGTCCTATTAGTAAGACGATTAAGTCGCGCCATTAATAATAAGATGTAGTCGCAATTATAATAATTCATATACTAGCTGTAAACATATTATAAACATATTAACATATAGTAATTTTAAAAATTGCAAATAATTTATTGCCATAATAATAAATTATTTGCAGTTTTTAAGATTTTTATTAACATTAAATTATTAATATTCTTACAAAATGCTTATTAGCATTAATTATATTATTAAATTACTTGTCATTAATATAATATTACTACTCTAGTTCTATTCATACCTGCGTTTCAAGATTAAAAAAGATTTTGGTGCGCGGTTTACCAAATTAGATATATAAATTCGTATCGAAATATTTAAGCGCTAAGGTCCGCTTTGACCGATAATAAGATTTCTTACTTAATTAGATTTATTCTCATCGGTCCGATTTGAAACTATTATAATTAAGACATAAATTTCATTCGCTGTATAAAGAGAATAGAATAAATGCTACTTACGTTTAAAACATCCTAATTGAGGATTTCCAGAATAGCCTGGAGGACATACACAAGAAGGATAATGATTTATAACGTTACATTTGGCATTGGGTCCACAGTTGCAGGGATTAATGCACATGCCGTTGACACATGCATAATTTCCTGCGCACTCGCTGTTTGATACGCATTCAGGCGTGATCTCCGCTGCAGTCGAAAACATCGTAATATGAGATAAAATTGTTACAATTTCTTCAAAATATACTCTTTATTCATAATAATGCTTACGTGGTATGCACTTGGTTTTAGGATCGCCGATATAGCCAATCGGGCATTTGCAAATCGGATTATGATTGTCAACATGGCATAGAGAACTTTTGCTGCATGGATCACCAGCAACACACGGATTTACACAGAGCGAATTTATGCATTGCTTGTCGCGCGCACATTCGCTGTTTGTGTAACATTCTGGTCGAGGTCCTGGCAATGGAACAACTGGAACTGCAACAGAAATTATATCAATGTATTTATTATATATATATATATATATATATATATATGTATTTTATATATATATAT